AGTCAGTGCATTATGCTTGCCAGGATTTCCTGAGCCCACAGAGACATCATGGTGGGGTCCTGCTCAGGTTTTTATAAAGTGTGGTGTCCTCTTATTTTTCAACCTTCAGTCTAGGAATCAAGACAAAGAGGGACATATGTGCAGAGTCTGACTTGGATACCTTGTAAGTAGTCACCATTGGAGCACACACCAGGACAAGGTGATGGAGGCAGATGTTCCCTTGGGACACTGCACATGGCTGGAAGCTACTAGGGGACTCCTGGAGAGGACAGAGTGAAACAGTGAAGGGGAAATGTGGCCTGGGGCCTAACATGGAAACTGTCACTGTGGGCTATATACAGCCTACTCTTTTTGGTTCATTTCTCTGTTAGACCTCACTGTGAGGGATGAGTGTCCTGTATATAAGGCTGTGGGCTGGGCTGCAGTTCTGTCCCTACAGACCAGGGAGCAGATTTCAGTAACCTGTGGAACTTTTTCACTGCTATCTAGCTTGTTAGTTGTTGAGTTGCGGCTTCATCAAGATCTGTCTGCACAGGAGCACAATGACCACCTAGCCACATGTCCTGCCAGCCCTAAAAGAAGAACCTGAAAAGTCAATACATGTTCCTATTTACCATCAGGCAGGGTACATTTGGCTGTGTGAAACTGTCCTATCATTGACCTACAGGCACCCATTGACCATAAATGTTATAGACAACATAGAGCAGGACCTCTCCTTATCTTGTCAGATTGCGACCCTGGATAAACTACACCATCCTAACATCGTTCACCTGTTCCAGCTTCTTACAACAGCACATTTCTTTGTGACTAAGAAAACATGTTCCATCGAGTAAGGGATGAGGGCAGGTTACAGGAGGAAGAGGCACAGAAAATATTCAGGGAGATTGTGTCAGCCATCAGGTTTTGCCATGACCTTGACATCGTCTATCAAGACCTGAATTCTGAAAATATTCTACCAGATGAAGAGGGCAACGTGAAGTTGACAGACTTTGTTATCTCCACCAGATGTAGAGCTGGCACTGTACTGCAAGGATAATGTGTTACCAAGACCTTCAATGCCCCAGAACTGGTCCTTGGAGAGGGCTATGACGGGAAGAAAGCAGATGTGTAGAGTCTACGTGTGCTGCTCTATTTTAATACCACCGGGTACCACCCATTCCGAGGAGACACCCTGGAAGAGATCGAGGATAATATCATAAAAAGGACCTATGACATTCCAGCTCATGTCTCTGGGTCATTTGAAAACCAAATTCAGTAAATGCTCACAATTGCCCCAGAGAGGAGACTCTCCATTGAAGACCTTCTGCAACTTCCGTGGCTCCTGAAATGGGAAGAAAACATCCCAAATGCCACCTACTTAGATCCAAACATCCTAGACACACTGTTGTGTTCAGTTTAATATCAAAGCCATTTTGTAATCCTCTGTAAAGAGAAAATACAATGAAATGATGGGGACATACTTCATCATCAAAGAGCAGTCACATGAAGAGCTGGGGTTATCACTTCACTGCACCACCTCAGCCAAGTCTGTGGACCTTGGAATTGTGCCTCCCCATTCCCCAGTACATCTCTCTATGCTTGGTCTTCAGCTAAAACAAAGGGCCAGTGAATCCACCTTTGGCCTCTTCCACACCCAGCCCTCACCACAGCACCTGCCTGTTGTGCCAACAGCACCAGGCAAGAAAGTGGCTAGCAGTGCCTCCATGCCTGGATGTTGTCCCCAGAAGAAGGGCCACAATTATAGTTATGCAGCCTGTTCAGTACTGTGGCTGCCCCAAGTATCTGCACGACATATTGGAAGAGGAAATGACCTGGCACCTGGGCCAGCTATTGACATGGAAAAGGCATCATCTCTTCTGAACATCAGGTGCTTCAAGAGACTGCACGAGAGAATCACGCATTGCCTGTCAACAGTGTGCTTCTTCCCTCAGGCTCCAAACACACAAGCCCACCCTATGTTCACCAATAAAGTGGCTCCCCTGAAAGAGGCAACCTGCAGAGCCCAGTGAGGAATTGGGCATGCAGGTATCTCCTATGCTGTCTTTCCCAGCATGCTTTTCTCTGTAGCAACAATAGGTTTCAGACTTCATTTCCCAAGCTGCCTTTCTCTATATTGGCATGCCACTACAAACTACCTTTCCCATAGTGCCTCTCATGTCCACCACTTCCATTTCCCTTTACATGACTAAAGTTTCTAAAGACACATTTCAGCTTTCACATGGGAGGTTTGAGTCAAGATTTTTGCTTTTGGACCATCACAGGAGATAGGAGATGTCTATTCTCCCTGCGCTGGCTTCGTTATATTTTTTTCTTTGCTGACACTTTCCCTGGAGTGAGTGGGGCCTTATTCGAGGAAGGTGCTTTTGTGCCCCAAGGAAAAATCCCTGGGGACTTGCTCATCTCCCCCAGCCTGTCAGTAAAAAGAAGTGAAAGAACTCAAAACAAAGCTTTTCTTCAGTTCCATCAGAGAGACTCCCTCCCAGACAGCTCTGGGTTTGCTCCCAGCTCATCCTTTTCTACACAAACAGCCACAGGCTGTAGGAAAAGGCTGAGTCCATCAGCTGGATAGCAGAAGAGCTCACAATTTGGAGAGCCCGGCTCATTCACCCAGGACATTTTTAGAAGCTCCTTCTGCAGTCACTGCATTATGCTTGCCAGGATTTCCTGATCCAACATAGACATCAAGGTGGGGTCCTGTTCCGGTTTTTGTAAAGTGTGGTGTCCTCTTATTTTTCAGCCTTCAGTCTAGGAATCAAGACAAAGAGGGGCAAATGTACAGAGTCTGACAGTGACCTCCTTGTAATTAGTCACCATTGGAGCACACACCAGGCCGAAGTGATGGAGGGAGCTGTTCCCTTGGGACACTGTACATGGCTGGAAGCAATTAGGGGACTTCTGGAGAGGACAGAGTGAGACAGTGAAGAGGGAAGGAGCCTGGGGCCATACATGGAAACAGTCACCGTGGGTTATATACAGCCTACTGTGATTGGTCCATTTCTCCGTCAGACCTCACTGTGAGGGGTGAGTGTCCTGTATATAAGGCTGTGGGCTGACAGCAGTTCTGTCCCTACAGACCAGGGAGATTATTTCAATAATTGTGGAACTTTTTCACTGCTATTTAATAGCTTGTTAGTTGTTGAGTTGCAGCTTCACAAAGATCTGTCTTGCATAGAAACTCAGTGACCACCCATTCTCATGGCCTGCCACACCTAAAAGAAGAATCTGCCAAGGCTATACATGTTCCTACCTACCATCGGCTAGGGTACATTTGGCTCTGTGAAACTGGCCTATCATCGCCTCACAAGCACCCATTGTCAATAAACTTTATAGACAGATAACCTAGAGCAGGACCTCTGGTTATCGTGTTCGATGGCGACCCTGGAAAAACTACACCATCCTAACATAATTTGCCTCTTCCAAATTCTTATAACACCACAACATTTCTTTGTGACTGAGAAAACTTGTTCCAAGAGTAAGGGAAGAGGGCAGGCTGCAGGAGGAAGAGGCACAGAAAACATTCGGGCAGATCTTGTCAGGCATCAAGTTTTGTCATGACTTGACATCGTCCATCGAGATCTGAATTCTGAAAATATCCTTCTAGATGAAGAGGGCAACGAGAACCTGGCAGACATCGGTCTTTCTACCAGAAGTAGAGCTGGCACTGTACTGCAAGGGCAATGTGGAACCAGGACCTTCAGTGCCCCAGAACTGGTACCCGGGAGAGGGTTATGATGGGAAGAAAGCAGATGTGTGGAGTCCGGGTGTTTTACTCTATTTTATCACCACTGGGTACCACCCTACACAGGATGCACCCTGGAAGAGATCAAGGAGAATATCATAAAAGGGACCTATGACATTTCAGCTCATGTGTTTGGTTAACTTGAAAACACAATTCACTAAATGCTCACAATAGCCCCCCAGAGTCCCTCCATTGATGATCTTCAGCATCATCCCTGGCCCATGAAATGGTAAGAAAACATCCCAAGTGACATCCACTTAGATCCCAATGTGCTAGAAACACTGTCGTCTTGGGTTTAATATCAATGCCGTTGTGTAATCCTTTGTAAAGAGAAATGCAATGAAATGATAGGGACATACCTCATCATCAAAGACCAGCCACACAAGGAGCTGGGGTTTTCACTAGGCTGCACCACCTCAGCCAAGTCTGTGGACCCTGTAGTTGTACCTCCCCCATCTCCAGTGCACCTCTCTATCTCTGGTCTTCAGCTAAAACAAAGGGCCTGTGAGCCCACCTTTGGCCTCTTCCACACCCAGTCCTCACCACAGCACCTGCCTGGTGTGCCAACAGTACCACGGCAGAAGATGGCCAGAAGTGCCACCATGGCTGTACATTGTCCCCAGAAGAAGGGCCCCACATATAGCTATGCACCTATCAAGAGCTGGGAAGCCCCAAGTATCTACAGTGGCACATAGGAAGAGGAAATGACCCGGCACCTGTGCCGGACTTTGCCATGCAAAAGTAATCGCCTCTTCTGAACATGGGTTGCTTCCAACTTTTCTGTCAAAAGTGTGCTGCTTCTCTCGGGCTCCAAACACATAAGCCCATCCTATGTTCACCAATAAGGTGGCTCCCCTGAAAGAGGCAACCTGCAGAGCCCAGTGAGGAATTGGGCAGGCAGGTATTGCCTATGCTGGCTTTCCCAGCATGCTTTTCTCTACAGCATCACTATGTTTCAGACTTCATTTCCCAAGCTGCCTTTCTCTATATTGGCATGCCACAACAAACTACCTTTCCCATAGTGCCTCACATGCCCACCACTTCCATTTCCCTTTACATGACTAAAGTTTCTAAAGTCACATTTCAGCTTTCACATGGGAGGTTTGAGTCAAGATTTTTGCTTTTTTCACCACAGGATATAGGAGATGTCTGTTCTCCCTGAGCTGGCTTTGCTATTTTTTCTTTCTTTTGCTAACACTTTCCCCAGAGTGAATGGTGACCAAAGGAAAAATCACTGGGGACTTCCTCATCTCCCCCAGCCAGTCAGTAAAAAGAAGTGAAAGCACTCAAAACAAAGCTTTCCTCCAGTTCCTTCAGAGAGACTCTCTC